TTAAAAGTACATAGGGATTTGGGCCAGAGCGCAGGTAACATTATCTTTGTTTTTAAAACATGAGAATGTTGCAACTTGTACATAAGTCTTCTCATTTCAGTGAAAACAAAAAAAACCTTATACGCTATCCTTACACTACACCTTATGTGGACTATGATCCACACCATACCTCTCACATTGTGACTAGCATAATAAGGGTAGTGATGTCGCGAACCCGAAATTTTCGGTTCGCGAACGGCGAACGCGAACTTCCGCAAATGTTCGCGAACCGGCGAACCGCCCGAAACGCCATTGACTTCAATGGGGAGGCGAATTTTAAAACACACAGGGACTCTTTCTGGCCACAATAGGGATGGAAAAGTTGTTTCAAGGGGACTAACACCTGGACTGTGGCATGCCGGAGGGGGATCCATGGCAAAACTCCCATGGAAAATTACACAGTTGATACAGAGTCTGGTTTTAATCCATAAAGGGCAGAAATCACCTAACATTCCTAAATCACAATCAATATGGATTGACACCTGACATATGACATATTGACACCTTGACATATGGATTGACACCTGTCCTCAGAGCCCCTGATGCACACGGACACAGAGCAGAATAGAGACTGGTCCCCCTACATAGGGTCACTTGGCAAATATGGATTGACACCTGTCCTAAGGATCCCTGATACACACTGACACAGAGCAGAATAGGGACTGTTCCCCCTACATCGGGTCACTTGGCAGATATGGATTGACACCTGTCCTAAGGTTCCCTGGTACACACTGACACAGAGCAGAATAGGGACTGGTCCCCCTACATCGGGTCACTTGGCAGATATGGATTGACACCTTGTTACAAAATGCTATTTGTAATGGGCCCTTTAAATGGCAAATTGCCCTGCTTCCCTGGGTTGTGGAGAAGCCTATTTGCCAGCCTCCTCCCGCATGACTATGGCCCCTGGGAGATTGTGAAAATGTATGCACTTTTATTTGGTGTGTATGGCCCTTTAAGACTGTCGGTGGGCATATTGGGGCTTATGGACTCTTTATGTGACTGGTGCTGGCCCTTTAAACACCTTTTTTGGGACATCAGGAAGATTGGGACACTGCCCCTTTAAGGCCGTGTCCCCAGACTTGTTGGGGACACGGCCCCTTTAAGACGGTGTCCCCTGTGTCCCCAGACCTGGTGCAAACCCTTTGTGCCTGCCTTGCTATTTCCCACTTGGTTCAGTAAATGGGAAATTATTTCAGCTGCAGAGACTAAGTCCCATTCGGCGATGGGACTTAGTCTTTTTTTCAGCCGTTTTTTTCAGCCTTATTTCAGCTGCAGAGACTAAGTCCCATTCGGCGATGGGACTTAGTCTTTTTTTCAGCCGTTTTTTTCAGCCTTATTTCAGCTGCAGAGACTAAGTCCCATTCGCGATGGGACTTAGTCGTTTTTTCAGCCTGAAATAGACCGACCTCACAGCCCAAATCTATGGAACTGTTTTGGGCAGGAAAATGTGCTTGCGGTCGGTCATAAAGGGACCTCCAGCTAACTTTTTAACCCCTGGATGGATTTGGCTGATTTTTGGTTATGTTTATGTTTTAAGTGTGCTGATTCCAAATATGTAATTATGAAGATGGGATGTGTAGTTTTAAAGTTACAGGGTATGGCTAAAAACTGTATTTTTACTGCCTGTGTTTAATTATGTTAATCTCTTCCCAAACGTCATTTCGTTCAAAGTGGAGAGAATGTTAAAAAAATATATTTTTGTTCTGAGTGTGAGAAATGCTTTTCAGCCGCTTCTAATCTTAAGCATCATTTGAGGAGCCATACAGGAGAGAAACCTTATTTGTGGTGTGTTTAGTATTGTTCTGATCAGTTTAATACCTTCCGCGTCTCCTATCAGTGGACGTGTATATGGCAGCCATTTTAGGAACCGTACACCTGGGACCGGAGCAAGGTCACCTCGCTCAACAGGCGACAACATTTGTCCCTGGAAAACTATCCTGGACATTCTGTACAATTTGTATGGATATGGCAGTGATTTCTGTAACAGGGAGATGGAAGAAGATGCTTGGTCGGTCCTCTTAATTCAAATTTGGGGCACTGCGCGGTCAAGCTAATGTGCCACCAGATAGGAGTGGTGTGTTTAGTATTTTTCTGATCAGTTTAATACCTTCCGCGTCTCCTATCAGTGGACGTGTATATGGCAGCCATTTTAGGAACCGTACACCTGGGACCCGAGCAAGGTCACCTCGTTCAACAGGCTTGCAGCATATCCTCCAGGAAGAAGAGCCTGAACCCTTACCGGCTGCACGTGTCTTACCTGTACATGGAAAGCTGCTGTGGTTCCTTGATGAGCCAGCTGCCCGTGAGTTAACATGTCCCGTGGAGAAGCACTCTGTCCTGTAAAGCCTCACCAAAAAAAAGGAGTGGTGTGTTTAGTATTGTTCTGATCAGTTTAATACCTTCCGCGTCTCCTATCAGTGGACGTGTACACGGCATTGATTTTTGTAACAGGGAGATGGAAGAAGAGGCTTGGTCGGTCCTCTTACTGCAAATTTGGGGCACTGCGCTGTCAAGCTAATGTGACACCAGATAGGAGTGGTGTGTTTAGTACTATTTTTATCAGTTTAATACCTTCGCGTCTCCTATCAGTGGACGTGTACACGGCATTGATTTTTGTAACAGGGAGATGGAAGAAGAGGCTTGGTGGGTCCTCTTACTGCAAATTTGGGGCACTGCGCGGTCAAGCTAATGTGACACCAGATAGGAGTGGTGTGTTTAGTACTATTTTTATCAGTTTAATACCTTCGGCGTCTCCTATCAGTGGACGTGTACACGGCATTGATTTTTGTAACAGGGAGATGGAAGAAGAGGCTTGGTCGGTCCTCTTACTGCAAATTTGGTGCACTGCGCGGTAAAGCTAATGTGACACCAGATAGGAGTGGTGTGTTTAGTACTATTTTATCAGTTTAATACCTTCCGCGTCTCCTATCAGTGGACGTGTACACGGCATTGATTTTTGTAACAGGGAGATGGAAGAAGGGGCTTGGTCGGGTCCTCTTACTGCAAATTTGGGGCACTGCGCGGTCAAGCTAATGTGACACCAGATAGGAGTGGTGTGTTTAGTACTATTTTTTATCAGTTTAATACCTTCCGCGTCTCCTATCAGTGGTCGTGTACACGGCAGTAATTTCTGTAACAGGCAGATGGAAGAAGATGCTTAGTTGGTCCTCCTAACTGGAGACTGTGTTGCTGTACGGGTGGCAGGTGGAGCCATTTATAAAGTACACACTGCTTTATTAAGCCATTTATAAAGTACACACTGGCGGCTTGAACCCTAGTTGGTGGCGGATAAGTCACGCAAGTCAACAGGCATTCAGAGCTAAAATACAGCAGCATGTGGACCATTTTTAGCCCAAGGCAGCTCATCTCATCAGGCCTTTTTTACATAGGGTCACATGGCAGATATGGATTGACACCTGTCCTCAGAGCCCCTGATACACACTGACACAGATCAGAATAGGGAATGTTACCCCAACATCGGGTCACTTGGCAGATATGGATTGACACCTGTCCTAAGGATCCCTGATACACACTGACACAGAGCAGAATAGGGAATGTTACCCCAACATCCGGTCACTTGGCAGATATGGATTGACACCTGTCCTAAGGATCCCTGATACACACTGACACAGAGCAGAATAGGGAATGTTACACCCCAACATAGGGTCACTTGGCAGATATGGATTGACACCTGTCCTCAGAGCCCCTGATACACACTGACACAGATCAGAATAGGTAATGTTACCCCAACATCGGGTCACTTGGCAGATATGGATTGACACCTGTCCTAAGGTTCCCTGGTACACTGACACAGAGCAGGAATAGGGAATGTTACTAACATGGTCACTTGGCAGATATGGATTGACACCTGTCCTCAGAGCCCCTGATACACACTGACACAGATCAGAATAGGGAATGTTACCCCAACATAGGGTCACTTGGCAGATATGGATTGACACCTGTCCTAAGGATCCATGATACACACTGACACAGATCAGAATAGGGAATGTTACCCCAACATAGGGTCCCTTGGCAGATATGGATTGACACCTGTCCTAAGGATCCCTGATACACACTGATACACACCTACTTGGATGGTATAGACATTTTAGCAGCTCCTGGCCCGAACACCTGACCCACATAGGAGCCGTAATAGACCGGATTAGGGAGTCCGGACTGACCCTAAAGCCCAGTAAGTGCCATATAGGAACGTGTAAAAACCTCCCCAAGATAGTAGTATGGGCCCAAGAGTGTGAACAGGCCTTCCAACAGCTCAAG